GACATTCTTTCAAGGCACCACAGGATCCCACAATAATTGATGCATTGAATTAATTTTACTGCAACAGTTAAAGCCTTAAAATGTTTTTCATTATGGAAATAATAGGATAATTCCCCTGTTGTCGCAAGAAACTTATTAATTCATAAAGAATTCTGTGTACAGAGCATCAGTTCTGATGCCTTAAGGGGTGCTTAAAGTAGTGGCAGATTGTTTCTGCACTAATTTTGCATGTTTACGCTGTTCATTTTAACCTGACTTGTCTGGAAGTGTTTACAAGCAATTGCCAATGTTTCAGAAGATCAAAAGCAGGTTCTGATCTGTTGCTTTCTAGTTCTCATTTATCAGAATGGAATTGAAATGAAGCATTTGCTCCAATGAAATAGAATGTTTTTACATGCTAACTGAACAGAATACAATGGTAGAAAAAAGCTTGCACCGGTGAAGATTCCATAACTATTTAAGGGACTCTATTCCAATGCTAGAATACCCCAGAAGTTAAAAAGCTTTTCCAGTGCATAACCACTTTCCTTACTGCAATTAAAGTCCATCATTTCCATCTCCATCAGACAGAGAGCCTTTCTGTGTGCAAAAACCTTTTTGTGGGCTTGAAGTTGTAAAAGATATTGAAGATTTTTCTTCATTCCAAAAACTGTTCAAAGTCAGTCTTAGAGCAAATGTGACTTCTGACAGTTCTTGCCTGCATGTTTTATACACAGACATTATTCCGTCATTCAAACCATTAATAAATGTTTTAAAGGCATTAGGTTGAGGTAGACACTGAAAATACATAGTCAATATGGGGTTTGAATTAATTAACGGTTACTTGCTTATCTTTTAAAATGTGGTTTTCCTATGACTTGCATGCACCCCCTGCCCCCACCCCCCCCATCATTTAGTCAAAATATTTCCTACTGAGAGGTGCTTTCTATAAGGCAGGCTCAAAAGTTGAGATGTATGCTTCTTCCACTATTCACAAGAATGGGTACTTATATGTTAAAGGACATTAAATGGGCTTGATAGGTCTTGATCTTGGCTAATGTAGGCCTTTGGTTGCTTATCATTTTACTCTCTTTTAAGTATTTACCAATAGGTCGAGTTTTTTTGTAGAGTTGAAGTTAGACTGACTTTTGTATGTATCTCCAGCTCGCTGTTTCCCATTTCTTAAAAAGTCACTTGCCCGATATTTTGGAACTTGCCTGCTTTCCATCACTTCTCAGAATCACTGATGGTTCTGATTTTGCCGCAGCTGGTTCATTATTGGATACCCTGTGATGTTGGCTTTTAATTAGCTCAGCCTGATGAATATTTATCTAGATCTTCTTCTCTGTTTTGTCATTAATTCTTATCCTGTTCTTACTTATACCGTGTTCCTTGTTAAAACAGACAAAATGCATGTAAGCTTTTCTGTGTGTCATCTCTTAGTGTCTCTGCTAAGTACTTGCTTATTTCTGACTCCAGTATTCCTCTTGGTAAGGAAGTGGTTATGGGATGCTTCCTTTTCTCTTATGTGTCTCATGCTAGTGATGCTCATTTTGTGCCTTGTTCGTTCTTTTGAAAGTTTCCAAATACAATGAATACTTCTTTTTAAAGGCAGTAATTGTGTAATTTGAAAATATTAGGATTCTCCCAAATCTTTTGATGTTTCTGAGTAGAATCAGTATTAGTGGGGTTTATCTTAATGTATTTTTCTTTTCTAAATGACAGTGGGCTAAGGTCATCCTAGAAATTAGATTGCACTTTGACTTTTGTATAGTAGGTAGCCTTTAAATGTTTAAGTTGTATATTCAACATACAGTATTTTCTGCTGCCAGTAAATCTCTTGGAATAATATTGAATCAGCCATAATGTGATATATGTTGTGTGACATTACCACTCTTAAGCCCTTACCCTTTCCTGTTTTATCTCCTTTTCATGAATTTAATGCCTTAGATAAACCTGAAATCACCCTTTACTTAGACCTTGGCAAACAATGTTCTTTTCATAAGGGCAAAGAACAAATCAGTGTTTGGCTCAAAGAACTGACAAGTAGCGTAATTCTATAAGTGGAGGTAACTAGAAAATCCGTTTACCTAGAATGTCGTATGCTCACAGATTAAAAATTAAAGAAAAAAAGCTGTGCACCACAAAGTACATGTGCGAAAAGAGCTACATTTTTCTCCTGCTGCTAATAATCTTACAGTTGTTCCAGTAAAAGGGCCAGTGTGTTCTGTGTGGAACGATGGAGCTCTTTCTGGAAATAAAACCTAGTTATGAAAGATCAGAAGAAAAAAGTAAGATCTGAGGATTCCACATATAAGAAGGGATGTAAAGCATTTCTCTTTAAAAAGTTAATATTGGATATATCAGTTAAAGTTAAACTTTCAGTAAGCTCCTGAAAAATTCTAGGTGAACTCCAGGGCTCCAGTGAGACTGAAGAGGTCTGTGCAGATAGGGAGACAATTATGTAGCTAGAATCAGTTTTGTTTAATGAAGAAATTAGTTAGGTCTTTCAAAAAGAAAAATACTTAAGTCATGACTTTCTAAGCTATTATGTGTATAAAATTATCTTGTCAGCTAAAAATATTTTGGAGACATTTATAAAGAGGGTAACCTTGACTCTTTTACAGTGGTAGTGCAATCCATGAGAGGGAGATGGGTACCTTCTCAAAATACCATGGATGAGACAACCATGTTTGTGTTTAATACATAAAGCTGCTGGAAGTGTTGCCATTTGCTTAGACATACAATCTCATCTATATTTTACATTTTAAATGTTTTTCGTTTGTGTTTATGTGAGAGGATGGGTTGTAGGTATCCACTATTTTGTATTTCTGATCCTAAGAGTGTAGCTTCTCTGTAAACAAGTGGGTAACTATTCATTCTTTTTATTTAGGTATCAGGGAGTGCAGGGTACAGGGTGACCCTACTAATATTTACTGAATCTACCTGAAGAAATCATAATCTTAAGAGGATCTGATATGCGGAAGATAAGGGGGAGGAATGCCATCAGTCCTTCAAAGGAAAAGGAGGCCCTGATAAATTTGATTATCAAAGACACATTCCCATTTAGTTTTAATTATGGAAGAAAAGCCTGGGCTTTTTGGGAGCAGCAATTCAAAGGCTGCATCAAACAGTAATTCTCCTTTTCCATCATCACATGATTACCCAAGTCAGGGTCCAAACTTGATATTCACTACCTATCAAAAAATCTTTAAGATTTAAATCCACTGATTTAGAACTTAGATTTGTGTGTTTCACAAGATCAGCATAGAATACTTGATCCTAAAGGATGTAGGGTTTTGATCAGTTCTTTGGAGTTGGAGGGTAGATTGTGGGATATTTTTCTTTGTTTGTTTGAAATTAACCCCAGGGATATAGCTGTAGTACTGTAGTAGTAATGGCCTCTGGCTGCACTTAGCACTGCTGATCACAACCCTTTGAGGCCAACTTGACCGCGACAGTTCAGCCAATTTTCAGTCCACCTACTTATGTAGTCTGTATTGCTTCAGTTTCTGTATAAGGGTGTTATAGGAAACGGTGATAAATAACATCTACTGCTTTCCCTTCATTAACTAACCCAATTATCTCATTATAGAAAGTTGTCTTATTGGTCAGGTAGAAGTTTTTCACCTTCATAAATCCATGCTGTTGACTCCCAGTTTTCATCTTGTACTTAACATATTTGGCAGTGGTTTCCAGAATTATTTGCTCTTTCATCTTCTTGGGCATCAAGATGAGGCTGACCAGCCTGTGGTCCTCCTTGAAGACAGGAGTGATCTTTGCTCACTTCCAGTCCTCGGGAACCTCCCTTCATCATCACCACAATCCTTTAAAGATAATTAAGTAAGTGGCCTTGAGATGACGTTGACCAGCAACCTCAGCACTCATAGGCGCATCCCATTAGGATCCATGGGTTTATGTATGCCCAGTTTGTTTAAATGTAGCCTTACTTGATCTTCTTCTACTGAGCGTAAGTTTGTGCTGCCCCAGGCTTTTCTACTGGTCTCTGGGGCCTGGTGTTCCTGATGGCAGTAAAAACTGAGATGAAGAAAGCACTGATTCCTTGGGTCTTTTTGGTGTTCCCTGTCACCAGGTCCTCTGCCCCATTCAGCAGCAGGTAACCATTTTCCTTGGTTCTTCCTTTTGCTGTGAATGCACCTGTAATATCCCACCTTCTTGGCCATCACATCTATTGCCAGATTCAAGTCCAGGTGGGCTCTGGCTTTCCTAAGCCCATCCCTGCATGGTCAGAGTCATAGTATTCCTCCCAGGTCATCTGTCCCTGTTTACATCTCTTCTAACTTTTCTTTTTATGCATGAGTTAAGTTGGTTCATTCATGTAGCTCCCCGTGGGTCCTGCTTGACTTCCTGAGTGTGGGGACAGACTCCCATTGAGCTTGGAGGAGGTGATCTGTTGGTTCCAGAGGGGTGGCTCAAGTGCTGCTGAGAGTAGCTTGTCCGTGAAATGGGACGTTACTTGATGATGCTGTCAGTCATACGTGGGACAGGGTAAAACGCATCTTACTCTCTTAATTGTACTAGAACTACAGCACAAAAACACTGCTGGAGAAACTAATATTTTCTCACTACACAGAGCAGGTAGCTCTAAAAGGAAGCAAGTCTGTAAATACTTTACTGTTCCAATCACACCTGTATCAGGATTTAGAGCACATCACCATTCCAAATTACATCTAGAGAGCTCTGGCTAATAGCTCATAATATGCCAGGTAATTCTTTACATATTTTTAATAGGAAAAAAAGTGTGTATATGCTTCACTTAAGGTGGTTTGTAGCATATAAAGAAAGGTAGATCCATCACACCTAAAGGCATTTACGTGATAGTCTTATCAGGTCTGAATTCCAAAAAATGTTTCATTCCTTCATGCTTTCTCATGCAAGTTCTTTCAGTTGGAACATGGGACTCTGTATGGTATTTATGGTTTTATTTTACATAATTTTAAGTTTCTTTCAGAAAATACTTAATTTAAACATGTTACTATGTTTTCTCTGTTTCAGAATTGCCACCTGTTCCTTCTACATCAAGGACAGACTTTTCAGAATTTTCTGTTAGGGAGCGAATGAGAGAGAAACTAAAAGCAGCAAGGGTGAGAATCCTTCAGAAGTCCTGTTTGGTTGACTTCAGTCTTATAAGTGCCACCCATTTAATTTTGCTTGCTTAGTGCTATGTGAATCTGAATTGGGTTATCTGCTTTTTTATTTCTGATGCCAAAATTATACTTTGTTCATCACTACCTTTATTTTCTGGTGTATTTCTATTGCTGTATTTTTTCTAAAGTTTAATTTGTTTATAATAATATAAAAGTTATAATTGTTTTTTAATTCAAATGATAGAATCTTTACAAGATCCTTACCTGTTTTTGTCAAAAAAAATCATACACTATTTTGAAATCAATGGATTTCCTTGTAAGTTTACTGTGCAGTTTAATAAGGGGTATTAACATCTAGGTTTGTAAAATCACTTAAGCTGATTATATAGTTAAAAGATTCTGTCCCTAACACAAATGTGCATAAGTTGTTAGGCTCCTGGGAATTATTGTAGCTTTGGTCATATTATATTTCTATTATAGCTAAGCATTTTTTTTTGTTTGCTTAGTCAAAAGCAGAAATTAATTTATTGCAATCCGACTCCAGTCCACGACCAAGGCATTTGAAAAGCATCAGAGAAAGGAAAACAAAAGTCAGAGTGGATAAAGCGGTAAGAAGATGCATTGAGTCTTGCTATTCTGGTAGTGAGAAAGTGAATGTGAAACATGAAATAAATCAAAGACTACACATAGTCTTGATGATCAATTTAATTTAATTTAATGGGATCAAAATTATACTATTGTTTGAATTAGTAACCAGGAAGGAACCTTTCTGATTATTACTTTTAATGTACATATTTAACAATAACAATTTGCTTTCATTGTAGTATAGACATTGTGTGAAACTTCTGTCATTTACAAGTTCATGACTTCTGTCGCTTAAGATGCCTTGAAGTCTTTAAAAGTTACTGTAAGAGAAAGGGCTGCTGCATTATAGCTTTGTATAAATTTGCACAGTGTAATTGCTAAAGGCTGGACATTAACTTTATGTCATAGTATTGTATTGTATTTCCTTGTTATGATTTTGTATTTTTTTTTTTTTTTAGTATCAGCATGTTCTTTGTTAGAAAATCAATTTTGTATTAGAAAAAATAACAAAGGCTATGCCTGTGCAGTACATGCACCTGGATATTTTTCAGAATTCACAAAGAGATCGTTTGCCTGTAGAAAATATGGTCCAAAGAATGTGCATGCCCAGGAAATATAAGTATGTAATAGTAACATTTTTATCTGGAATTCCAAAACAATATGAATTAGCCTGGGTAAATTGCTTGTCTAGGGAAGAATTACCTATTCGTGTAGGTGTGGGGAGGTTTTTGACAGTGTTTTCTTATAAAAATTAGTTGTCATAGCTTTCAGTTAAGTAGTATTGTTTTAGTATGTTTGTTTTAGGAAAATATGGAAGTGATATCCCTATTAAAGTTCATTACTAATTTTATATAAAGTATACCTGAAACCATCCACGTGTTGGTTTTGTTTCCTATACTTATTTACACGCGTATGAAGTATTGTTTTGCTGTTAAACAACTGGCCATCAGATTGCCAGGGTTTGAGATTTTCTTTTTGCTGTTATTATTTTCAAGTTTAGGTTGAATAGATGTAAACTTGAGAAATGTCTTCCTTTAATCTGAGGATTCAGGCTGCAAGGTGGAAAACCAGATAGAATGTTAGATGTGTTTATGTTGGCTGGGCCTGATGAAAATCACTTTGAAGCACTTAAGAAAACTTGCTGGAGCAACCTAAGAACCATTGATGTTTACAGTGATCTGTGTGTAGGGACAGATAAGGCTTCAGAAAACTGGAAATGGATAACCATGCTACCTCCTTTCTTGAAAAGGCAGAGGAGTATCATCCATGGAGTTTTAGAGTAGCCTAGCAATAATTTTTTGAGAGAGAACATAACAAATAATCAAGTCTGTATTTAAGCACCCAAGCAATGAATACTACCTTTTTTTGAGTAATACCAAATAGGCTTTTCCTGATTGCAGCAGGGGCTCTATGAGATGCTTGCCTTAGCTCCTTGATTCCCTTCCCTGGTCAGCAGTGTCTGTCAATAGCACCCTTGCCCCTGCTGCCCAGCTTGTGCTCTAAGTCAGCCTCACTTCTGTAGATGGGAAGATTTCACATTGCTACCCCATTTCTTCCTCTTGCGGAGATTAGCATGTGGTTGCTTGTGTTTGGGAGTGCAGAAACAATGATCTCGTCAGCAGTGAAGAAAGTAAGCTAACATTTATGCAGTAAACAATTTCTTGATACTCTGCATTCTATTTCTTGACCCAAAGGAGAAAAGAGTTAAATTATAATTAGATGGACCCTTTTAAAATAAGTACAAAATCAGTATAATTATTCCAACAGTGACTCTTGATTTTTTGGGTTTTTTTTTCCCTGTGAAAATGCAGTATCTAATCTATGTATTCAGCTGTTTGTCTCTTTTTTTTTTTTTTTTTTTAATGGATCCACAACTGTATGCTGTAACTTATATATATATTTTTATGCAGTCTGATAATGATAAATTTCCGGAGATGCAAGAGGATGAATCCCACTTACAATCAAAAATAAAGTTCTGTGATTCTGTAAAAAAGCTTAATCAAAAGTCAACAGTAAGTACCAATTCCTTCATTTCAATAATTGATATTAATTTCATTTAAACTTTATATGGCTTCATGATTCTGTACGAGGAAGCAGATAGAATTCAGTCTGGAGCAGTGAAGAGGGTTTTATTTAATTTAAAAATTCACAAACAGCATATGCCAACAACTGAAGTATAAAAAGGGAACCTTCATCAAGTAGAAGAATGGCTTTGGGTCATTTGATTTAAAAAAACCCAAATAAGTAAATCTGTCTGGACACAGTTACTGGAGCTTGGAGGAAAACGTTTCTTCTGTTTACATCCTTTTTATTGAATGCCACCAATTGGTAGTTAAAACAATTTACAGATTAATATATTGGTATTTATTAGCCACAAAATGCTACTGTTAATTCTTTCATTAGAGGATTTATCCTAACACTAAAGGGCCTGGGTCCTTCAGAGGCAAAACGCCATGAGCAGTTTCTCTTCATATCCTTCACCTGTATATCTGAATTATGGTCTGAATTTAAACTTTGGCCTTTTCCATTTGAAAATTGTTTCTATTTAAAACAATAAGCTGGTTAAAATTAAACCAGGTAACTTTTTTTAATAAAACATTGCAAGAACTATTTAATGAAATAGAGCAATAGAGAAAGCTTCATGTATCATTTAAAAATTTCAGTCAGCTTCAGCATTTGTGTGAGTTCTCTTTGAGATAAAATTATCCTGTGACAAGTGTTTATATGCTGTTATTGCTATTATTAAGAAAAAATATCTTCATGTGCCCTAAATTTCTTATAAATGTCATATTAAAGTATTTTTGTCTTCTTTTCTCAGTTCCAGAATGACCTTCCTTCCGCTGAAGAAGCATATAATTTCTTTACCTTCAATTTTGATCCTGAACCAGAGAGTGTAAAGGCTGGAGCCAGGAAAAGGAATGAATTAAATGAAGAAGAGGAGGCAGAAGAAGAATGTGTACAGACCCATGAGGATGAACAAGAGGAGGATGAAACGGTGCGAGCTGTAGAGTAAATGTTCATCTTTATTCAAACGTCTTGAATTAATTTTAATCATCAAATACAAAATGGCAACTTTGGTTTCCTTAAAAATTCTGAAAGTATACTTTCTAAAGATCTCCATTTTAAGAAATAGACAAACTAACAGAGGCGTTTGGACTTAAACTATAGGATGAAGACGTATGCCTAGTTAAAGAAGATGATTTATTCATTATAGGACAGAGAGATGAAGATGTTCTAGTAATGAAACCTCCTGATTGTGAAAGCTACTCTGAGCAACTAAAAAAGGAAAAAGAATTTCTCTTCATTCCCAGCATGCGAGCAGGTATGAAGATTGTGCTTCTCCATTTTTGTTCCTGGATTTTGCGTAGCGTAGCACCCTTTGATCTGCTGAAAAAGCTTGTATTAGACTGTCTCTGGCAGTAGAGAGAGATTTGCTTACGGTTCTCTGACACTGATCATCCAGTCAGGTCTGAAAAGGTCTGACAAAATGGATTAACTGGGAACATGCACACTTCAGCAGGTCACCAGCTGGTAAGATAGCAAGTAAATTCAGGACATATCAGTTGCTCTGGTGTAATTACCTTAGTCCTGTCTATAGTAAATGCAAGATGACTGGCCCCTCTTTCACCAGGGTTTAGCTATTGCATTATTTCACATATGCAGCAGGTTACTGGGTACACACATTTACGTATGAAGAGTGGCTTGTGCCCTGTACATTATAACTTAGACTATTTCTTCACTTGGCCACATCTGCAATTTTTTCCATGTGGCAAATATACCAAGAGTCATGTAAGTAACATAAGGATTTTCGTAATTCAAGGGGCCCTTTTCCCAAAATCTGATTTTGTGAATTGGAAATAGTCAACATTGATCATGTCTCTGACCTTTTTGCCTTATTCCCATAGAACTGCAAAGTCTAAAAAAATTGGTTTATAATATCACTTGCTGTTTAATATTTGTAGTGGAAGAAACAGAAATTAGTCTCTTGGTGGTATGTACCAGAATAGTTATCAGCACAGCTTGCAATGCAGTGTCAAAATATTTGATATTGGGTGGCTCTGTTTTTTCGTGTCTTGTAAGTTAGTTCTGACTGCTTCCAGTGTGGTCCACTGTATTCTGATTTAGGGGATAACTTTTATTGTAACCCTCAGTATAATCTCCCCCTGTTTTGAGATTGCTCCTTGAAAAGTACTGAGCCCATAGACACGAGTGAAATAATCCTGCAGGCAAGCTGTGAAGAATTCTACCTGCTGTTATTGGGCTAACATGACTTTTTACTGTTGTACAAAATACAGAACATGCATAGCTTAAGCAAACTAGTAATAGTAGTTTGGATTAATCTTAGTTAAAGTTTCACTTTAGATTGGAAAGGCTTAGAAATGTTTGTCTAGTCAGTTGTTGCTGCTAAAGGGTTTTTACACTGTTATGCAATCAACCATTAAAACTAAACTCCACGAAGTTATTTGAAGTACTTTTTGGTGAGGAAATGTTTAATCATCTGTTTAGAAGACTTCTGACATTTTTATCATAGATTTAAACTGTGGATCTGTCCTGATTAAGAAAAGGATCTGTTTTGGTTATATATTTCCTTTTTCCTACTAAGGAAAACATCTCTGACAGCATGCTTAATGCAGTGCCATTCATTTTAAGAATGTCATAGGCTCTTAGAGAATTTATAAACTAGAACTATAGTTGTAAGATATTTTATATGCTTTTCTATTTAATTTCTCATTAGTGCCCACTTCTGAGAAGATGCCTGGAAGCATGCAGCCTAGGTACCTTGAGGACGAGGGTCTTTACACAGGAGAAAGGCCCTTTGTATCACAGTCTAATCAAAATATTGTAGAAAACAGAATACTCAGACAGGAGCAAGTAAGTCACCACTACCTTCTTAGTTGTCTTTTTAAAATCCTTTATTTATCAGTATTTTATTTGATTATAGTTGAATAGGTAGATGGTCATGGCAACATGGGGCTTTCATCTTTAACATGTTTAGCAGTATCAGACATCTAGAAATGTGGATGTTTGTAGGAGTGTGTTTTAGTGTATCCCAAAAGTCAGGGCGCCAGACTGGGTCTTAGAAAACTGGTGTCTTTTCCTGGCTCTGCTTGTAGCCTGCTGGGGAGCAAACCACTTCACTTGCCTGTGCCGCTGTTTAGTTGCCATTACTATAGGGGTAATTATAATTCACTTTTTTAATAAAATGCCATGAGAGCTAGTGTATAAAGACTTATGCAAGAGCTGCGCACTGTTGTTATTATTTATTAGAAGATCATAACAACAGGAGGCAATATGGAATAGCTGTTTTCTCTGTCCATGGAAGATAATATGAAGTAACAGATTTGTAGAAATTTACTGATCAGACTGTAAGGGTAATTAAATATTGGTATGGATTATCTGGAGAAGTTTTGGAATCCTTTTAGATTTTTAAGAATGGCTTAAATCCAAACCATCTTCACGGGTGTTCCCATATTTTATCCTGCTATACTGTCTTCCTGTATGCAGTAAGGTGTGTGTACTTTAGTATAAATAATAAAGCAGCGGTTGCCCTATATATTTTATTGTTATTATGATTCTATGAATTCTTTGTGGGATAGCAGAGGTACTTTTGTGAATCAGATTGAGAATATTTGGATCTAAAATTTTTAACTGGCCAGCATCAACCCAGTTAGTTTTCTGGTTTGCTTCACTGTGTTACCACATCGGTGTTTGTTTCAAGGGTCAGCTTAAACCAGGTGTGGGAATAAAGAGGGCAGGCCAGCATCTTTCAGCAGCTACACCGGCTTAAGCTATTCTTGAATCCAGGTCATGAGAGCAGAGGGATGAATTAGGACGTTTAACATGTGAAGCCATGGATAGCAATTGGTGTGTAAGTTACTTACCTCATCTGCTTTCAGAGATGCTGTTTAATTAGTTCAGGTTGTGGACTAGAAGAGTCGAGAGATGCTTTGATAAATGATCTCTCTGAGCTGCCATTTAGCTCTTTAATTCTTTGCTTTATGATTTTTATAATCCAATTTGAAGATGTGGGTGGCAGTCGTGTAAAACATTGCAATTCTTTCAATTTTAGTGATTTAAGAAAACATAACATTTAAATTAAAAAGTGATGTGTTGATTTTTTTTTTTCTTTCAAATCTCTAACACTGAAAGGTGAAGGAAAAAGTTGGTATATTTGAAGTTTGAGCAAGCTCTTGGTCTTTTGATTTCAGAACTTATCTATAGTATATTTGAAGTTTGCATTTTGGTGTCTTAAAAAAGTTTTGTTAATTCAGTCACAAACAATTTATAGTCACCTTTTCATAAGAATTATAATTTTACAAGTTATTTCTATATAAAGTAAGAAACACTATAAAATTATGTTTTTATTT